AGGCTGCCCAGGGAGGTCATGGACTCTTTCTCTGAAGGCATTCAAAACCTACCTAGATGAGTTGCTGTGTAACCTGCTCTATGTGACCCTTCCTTGCCAGGAGGGTTGGACTAGATATCTCCAGAGGTCCCTTCCAACTTTAAAAATTCTGTGATTCTGTGATCATGCACTTCTGACAAAAAGCTCCTAGAAGGAGAGGGAATATTCTACTTGCACCATCGATTTTTCTCTGAGCAAGTTCAAAGAGTGAAAGTTAAGACTAAGCAGGACATAGTGCAATGTCTTCTTTCTAAATCTGAAGGCAGATTTATGGGGACACAAGGTCTAAGGATACTTGGGGTTCTGCAGGATAGTAGCAGTATGTAAAGGATTTAAGTGCTAGGAGAGCACTGAGACACTTGATATCCCACCAAGGACTCTTGATTAGATCCACCTTGATCTAAGCATACAGCTGAGACACAAGACGTGGAGAAAGAAAAATACTTCAATTTCAAGAGGGTCTAAATTTTTTCTCTATTATTGGTTATGTATGCACCATTACTTTCTGATACACAACCTATGTTAAACTGTAGTAGATGCTCTTAGGTCTTTTGCTAGATATTCCTTACATTAAAATAGATCACATCATTGCTGTCTCAGCACAGGAACAGCCTTAAAGATCAGGATTTTCAGGTTTTGTTCTCTCTGTCCAATCTGAAATTGAAGTATTCCTGCATTACTGTGACTGCACACATCATCACTGTGCCCCCAATGTGCTTAATTATAGGGCTGTCATCTTAAATTACATGAGGGGAGTGTTTTGTTTAAAAAGTGGATGCTTTCATTGTTGTCTCCTTGTACATGACAGGTGCATGCGGAGGGACTGTCACCACTGGTGAAACACCTTCATTCCTCTTCTCACCGGGCTGGCCCATGAATTACAGAAATTTTGCTGACTGTGTGTGGCTTATCAGAGCTCCTGGATCTACTGTGGAATTCAATATCCTGGAACTAGACATAGAATCTCACAGCTCATGCAACTATGACAAACTTATTATCAAAGACGGTGAGAAGCCAATCTTGCCTTACCTTGACAGCATGCAGTAGAGGTCCAAAGTCCCAGTACCCCCACTGAGCTTAAGCAATCTAGATAGCAATGAGAACATGCTCTAAATCAGTAGTCTTCCTCTATTCTGAGACATTCTGCTGGTGAAAATAAAATTAGCAAAGTCTTGAAAAATACTTGGTGGTCAATAAAAGTAGTTCTCAATCTGTAAGGGGTTAAAGGTCTTGAAAAGCACCTTCTTGAAAGTATGAGCCACAGCAACAAACAGGCAGATGTGAACTGATCTAGTTTTAACACTAACATGTGTTCTTGTGGTTGCAGGAGACACTAGTCTTTCCCCAGTGCTGGCTACTCTGTGTGGACGAGAACCTCCTGGGCCAGTAAGATCAACTGGAGAGGCAATGTTCATCCACTTCATGTCAGATGCAAGTGTCACTGGAGCTGGGTTTAATGCCTCTTATCACAAAAGTGAGACATGTTTTTCTTTCTCCTCCCAGATAAATGACTGCTAACAAGACAAAAGACTCTGGCTTTTTGAACAGCTGTCTACAATCTATCTAATTAATCACACACCCCAATTATTCACATCTCATGAATATGCATTAATAAATGTCTGACGCTGCAAAGGTAAAATTTCCTATTTCCCCAGCAATATAGTACAACAAAGCATGATTCAACCAGACCAGTCACGTTTCAGAAGTGAGAAAAGCATATGCCTAAGCTTGTAACAGATCAGCTGAAGGGTGAAAGAATGCCCAGCTAAGAGAGGGAAATAAATGGCTAAAAGCACTAAGAGAGGACAATAAATGACTCAAAGCATAGACACGAAACAGAAAATGAAACAGATGCAGAAAACTGTATAATTTGTAGCACGAATGTCAGCAATTTCCAGAGACAGTCCTCCCACATGCCCCCAGGAATGGTAACAGAATGCGCTGTAGCACAAAGGAAGGTGTTAGGACAACAGTGACAGTCCGGGGAAGATTTTCTGACTGGCAGCTGGAGTAGGTGGCAGTGGTTTGGTTCATGGCTAGAAGCAATGTCCTCAGACATTGTAACAATATCCTCATGGCATAGCTGTCTGATTATTCATCTGCTAAGTCTCAGAACTGAGTCTCACTCTCAGGAATTTTGGTGTGTGTCATCCTGCAATCTACTAGCTTGTATGTTGTCATGTACATTGCTCTATGCCCCTCAACTCTTCTTATGCTTGTTTCAAAATTTGTTTTTATTTGTCACATCTTTTAGGAGACAGTTTTCTCTAAATGGATAGGTGAATAGTTGACTCTAACATTTTTCTCTTTGCTTCAACTTGTTTTTCCCAGGTTGCGGAGGCTATTTGCACACAAGCAGGGGTGTGATAACATCCCCCAACTACCCTCAAGACTATGCTCCTAATCTGAATTGTTCCTGGCATGTAGTGGTAACTGCTGGATTTATTATTGCTGTTCATTTTGAACAGCCTTTCCAGGTTAAGAGTGAGGATGGTTCCTGCAGCCTTGGAGATTACTTAGAGGTGAGGTTATTGGCTAGGTCACCAAATGCACAAAGCTATTAAAACTACTGAATCTTACAGAGTTCAGTGTCAGAAAGACAGTCGAGGGTGTCACAGGATGGAAACACCAAAGAGAAATACTACAGATATTATTTCTCTCTCTCTCTCTCTTATTTATTGCTGTGCATTAACTAATCACTAGGTTGTTAATCTCCCCTGTGTCTGGAAGCACTAAGATGGTATGTGCTCAAAGTTTACATTCCTGGCCTGTTTGCTTGAGTGACATTAGCAATTTTTCTTCTAGCTGAAGAATGGGTTAGATAATGCTGCCCCACCTTTGGTGTCTGGAAGAGGGAATGGACGGTTTTGTGGAAGCAGCCCCATCTCTACCATGTACACCACAGACAATCAGCTGTTTGTCCACTTTGTT